GCAGATGATCTCCTCTGCCACCAGGTTCAAAGCACAAAAACATCAAATCTTTCTTCAGGGTTTTGCAGAAATTTATATATTTGTTGCACAACTGCTAAACTATGCAGTTTTTGACAAGAAAGAAACAATTGCTAGTTTGTTTAACAATATAAATAATCGATTTGTTGCACTTTCTGCTACAGAAAATTGGAAAACTAGTATTCCAGCAGAGATGAAACTAGCTGTAATGCCGTTAGTTTTTAATCATTCAATAAAGTTCACTCTTGCATCTCTGTTTGAATTCTTGCTTTCACAAAATTTCTCAAGACTTCATTTAATGATTGTCAAGATTCAAATGCATTAGTAGGCAAATGATGAAAGTTTTACCAAGTCTAAACTGAAATTGAGACAGCTCATACAAAAGCATCTCGCAGTTGCTGAATCCAGATATGGGGTGTTTTTGTTTGGGTTTTTTTTAAAGTCAACAGCCACTATCTTCTCCCCTGTATTGGACATCATGAGGTTCAGCAAGGCCAAGTGCAAGGTCCTGCACCTCTGTCAGGGCAGGAGGTACAGGAGGTACATTCAGTACAGGCTGGGGGATGAAGGGATTGAGAGCAGCCCTGAGAAGAAGGACTTGGGACTGCTGGTGGATGAAAGCTGGGCATGACCTGGCAGTGTGCACTTGCAGCCTAGAAAGCCAACCATATGCTGGGCTGCATCAAAACGAGCGTGTCAGCAGGTTGAGGGAGGTGATTCTCCTCCTCTACTCCACTCATGAGACCCCACCTGCAGAACTGCTTTCAGCTCCTTCTGTTCAGGTCCCCAACAGAAGAGGGATGTGGATCTGCTTCAGCAAGTCCAGAGGAGGCCCATGAAAATGATCGGAAGACTGGAGCCTCTCTCCCATGAAGACAGGCTGAGAGAGTTGAGCTTGTTCAGCCTGGAGAAGGCTCTGGGAGACCTTATTATGGCCTTTCAGTATATAAAGGCATTTATAAGAAAGACTTTTTACAAGGGCCTGTAGTGACAGGCCAAGGGGCAGAAGTCTTTTAAACTGAAAGAGGGCAGGTTTAGATTAGATATAATGAAGAAACTATTTCCTATGAGGAAAGTGAGGCACTGGCACAGGTTACACAGAAAAGTTGTCGCTGCCCCATCCCTGGCAGTGTTCAAGGCCAGGTTGGATGGGTTTTGAGCAACCTGGTCTAGTGGAAGGTGTCCCTGCCCACGGCAGGGAGGTTGGAACTAGATGAGCTTTGAAACCTGAAGCATTCTGTGGCTCTGTGATTCTGTATCCTTTTCATACATACATAGGTTTCAGCTGCAAAATATGAAGCTGACATGCAACTAGCATGTAAAAAGAGCTTTGCTACCTGTTAGCTTTGAAGTGCCCTGTGTCATTCTTCAGAGCTTGCCTAGAAATAAACAATTCCTCTTGTGGTCAGAGACAAAACTCAAACTTGTTTTTTGGTCCCGTGTCAACTGTCAGTGAATGCAGTATGGCTCTAAAAATGCAGAACTGTTTGTGTGGCACTGAATGTAGTACTGAGTCCTGGGATCTTACTTTCTTTGGGATAGCTGTTGAACATCACAGAAGTCTGAGTGGGAGCTGGCTGACTAGACACAGATTAGAAAATCTGTATCAGTTACCTTGGAAATCAGTAGGAAACACTGAAGTCAGAGGGAAAGAAGCAGAGAAGAGACTTAATGAAACAGACAAAGCAAAATACCTGTAGATCTAAATAGGTAACTTTTAACAGAGTCTGGTTCTGAACATACTGTAGCATTAACCAATTTCCAAAGCAAAGTATGTGCAAAAACCCTCACTTTGCTCAGAGGCACTTTGCTCTTTATCAGTACAGGTCCTATGAATCTATAAAGCTGTTGCAGTTAGTGAATTCTGAAAACTAAGACCATGAGGATCCTAACAGTGGAAGAAGACTTTCTTAAGAAATGAAACATTGTAGCTAACAGCCCATAATTATTAAATTTTCACAATACTGGAAGTCGTTGTAGCTTCACTGATTTGTTTGTCTTACCTTTGCTTTGTTTGTTTTTAATCTGGCCCACTCTGAAAATAATTCCTGAATCCCACATCTTCAGAATGGAACTGATACTGCTTTTTCAGAGCTGTGAAGCTTGTGACCACACATAACTGCAGCATCTTACCTAACAGATAAAACACTACTGGCTGCAACAAAGTAATTTGTCTTCTTACTACTCTGATTCAAATTAACCCATTATATGGGGAGGCAGTATTTTTTTTTTTCATTATCTGCTGCCCCACTTCTTATCAAATCAGTGGGGCCTATAACTTTAAGATGTGACTTGTTTCCCAACGCTTGTTTGTGTTTGTGAGTGAGTTTGAATTAGAAAATCCAGAATATATATATTTCCAGAAATCTAATCGGTCTGTTTCAGGCTGTCATTAAATTGCTAAATTATAGTTAGAGTAATTCATAGTTCTGTTGCTTCAGCTCTCTAGAAGCCAAAATCCAGAAGATTGACTACTTGCTATCCTATAAATTTGTCTTTCTCTAAGTTTTAACTTGTCTATCTATCTCTCATTCACATAGTCATGTTTTGTTTTGTTTTGTTTTCTTTCAGGACTGTCAGTTAAAAGCTTCTCTACCTGTGTTGTTTCTTGTGCTACTGAGTTTGACATAAAATTAGTTTATATAATGCTTGCTGATTAACAACAGAAGGAATTCTATTAAAATAAAAACAGACATTGTGTTCTAGAAGTGTGTGTTCATTTCCTTATGAAAAGCCCATTTTATTAAGTACTAAAGAAATAGACACACATTTCTGATTTAGGCACTGCTGAATACAGTTCTCATTATTCAACACGTCTTTCCCTGTTCACCACTTGGTATATTCATCCATCCAGCATAAGACACACAGAAGTTCTTCCATCAGCTGATTCTTTTTCACAATGTTGCTGTTACTCCTGAATTTTCATGAGACTCTTGGAAAAAAGTTAAACTGTATTTTTTTTTTTTTTGTATCAAGTCTTTTACATTTGTATTAACTGAATGTTCATGAAGACAAAGCTTTTTTTATTTGCTGTTGCAGCCTGTTTAAGGAGGGATACTCCCAGTATGCTTTCTTCTGAAAGGTCAGCAATTGTCTTGCTATTACTTTCCCCCAATGAGTCAGTTTAGACTGTGAGTGTATGTAATTTAGCAATGGCCAGCTTGATCATTCCTCTCATTTCCTGTACAAATCTTCAACAGTGTTTTGTATCTGAGCTGCTTTGAAATAAGCTGTGAACTGTAGATGTGGCAACATAATAAACCCTTAATTAAAAAAAAAGGGAAAAAGGTTCATTTAAAAAAAGAAATTAGAAATTAAAAAAATCATTAGAATCTTATAATAAAAGGTGAGAAGAAAGCCAGAATAAACAGAAAGAAGAGGAAAAGTCGCCTATTTACCGAACATGAGGAAGAATTTGGAATGCATAGGTTTTGCACTATCTTCAAAGTAGGCAGTTAAAGCAATACTATAGATACAAGTTTCCCATGCTCAAATGAGAAATACTAAGGAATTTGGGGTAAAAAAAGTATTAAAGGGGGGGAACTGAAAAAAATCTGTGGGGTTTATATTATTCTGATTCTCATCCCATCTGGAGAGGGTAAGGGTGGCAGCGAGCAAGAAGCTGCATGGTGCTGAGTTACAACACTTTCCCGTGGGATGGGGGAAAAAGAAAAATGTAGGCTGAGATATGAACAGTTTAATAATTGAAATAAAAATAAAATGCAGTAACAATAATAATAGGAAATATAATCTAGAAAATGGCCGTGCACTCTCCCAGCTTCTTGTGCCTCTCCTCGCTGGCAGAGCATGAGAGACTGAAAAGTCCTTGATCAGGGTAAGTGCTGCTTAGCAACAACTAAAACATCGGTGTGTTACTAGCCTTATTCTCAGAATAAAGCCAAAGCACAGCACTGCAACAGCTACTAGGAAGAAAAATAACTTCATCCAGCTGAAACTAGGACACAAATATACATCACTCTATAACGCTATTGATTATTCCTCTAAGCTGTAAATGTCTGCTATCCATGAACAGGTAGCAGTTGTGCTACTCCAGTCCAAACTCTATTCTAGTAACGATATAGTCAGCATGAGCTGTATGTATAAACTAGGAACAGCCTGGGATGAGTACCACCTCCTTGCACTCTGATCTGATTTCTGTTTGAAATCACTGGTTAATACAGCGCAAACCGTTTCTTCATGCAGTCTCTCACTCTGCCCGAGGAGAGAACAGTGTAGTACTGGCACATGTCAAAGTGCTCTGCTGCAGCAGAATTCAGTGCTTTGTAGGGTCACGACTAACACGGAAAAGGAACAAGCGTGACTAAGGCATGCCTTAGTGGTTAAATATACCTGAAGTTATTTTTGTCTGCCTGGGACAAGCAAAACCTGGAATTGCCTTCAGCCAGTCTTTGGCATTCCTGTTTTGAATAGCAGGTCTTAAATCCCTTAAGTAAAAATGATGTTAAGGTCCTTTTAAACCCGAACTATTCTATGATTATCCCAACAGCACACCAAGCCAGCACAGGCTGCTGCGGGAAACTTCAATTCTTATTTAAGAGGATGGAAGGAAGGAAGGACTTTTGAATCTAGAATTCGCGAACAAATGTTTACCTCACACTACTTAACGGCAGCGGGCAACGCCGCCCGTGCTTCCGGCGGTATAGGCCCGGCCCCTCCCCCCCCGCTCAGGGCGCACGCGCAGCCCGCGCCCCAGCGCGCACGCGCGGCAGAGCGGGCGCGCCCACGCCCGGGCACAGAGACCCCGCCCCTTTCTAGTAACTTCCCTGACGCTTGATGTCATCAACGCGCGTCTCGGGCGGACCTGGGTATTTCAGCGCGCTGCTGTCGAGCCTGTGTTGCGAGTGCGGAGCGCAACGGAGCGGAGCGCGGAGCTCGGCTCCCCGTCGTCCCCGCTCCCTGCAGCCGCTTGCAGCTAGACGCCAGCTCGCTCGCTCGCTCTCTCGCCCGCCCGCCCGCCCGCCCGCAGCCGGGCAGGCCTCTAGCTCCCTCCCGCCATGTCAGAGAGTGCCGACGGCCCCACGGGGGGTCGCAGCTCCCCGGACTCCCCGAGCCAGAACGCCGCAGAGCCGCGGGTCATCAAAGTGACTGTAAAGACTCCCAAAGAGAAGGAGGAATTCGCTGTGTCTGAAACCAGCAGCATCCGGCAGGTGAGGGGCAGCGGGGCCGGCTGTGGGTCTGGGACGGGCAGCGGGGCCGGCTGGGGGTCCGGGACGGTCAGTGGGGGCCTGGCGGGATTAGCCTAGCCGAGGTTAGGGCCGGGCACGGGTGGAGCGCGGCCCGGGAAGAGAGCTCAGGCCCGCGGTTCTCGCCTCCAGCGTCGTAGGGCGACGGCCCTTCCCGGTGACAAAGCAGCTCCTGCCCGCCCCGACTGCTCTGGGCTCTACCGGGCGAACACCAGGGCTGATCCTGGCTCGTGAGAGGACTGCTCCCATCTGAGGCTAGTAGGGGTAGAGAAGAAACCTCCTGCTTCAACTCCTCTCCCTATCCCCTGTTGCAGTGCTGATAGCCGGTTCGGGAGGTGACTGTAGGTCGCTTTCTAGCTGAATTGTCCTGTCGAACTGAGTCTGCCAGGAGGAGGTTGTCTGGCTAGTATAACCATAGAAAATGTATGCAATCACTTGTGTCACGGTGCTGTATTGCCCATGGTTATCTTCGTCTAAACTGACTTTAAAACAGTGTGTTGGTTATGCAGAGAGCTCTTTGTTTTAGAGAAGTTGTGTCTTCGAACTGTTAAATTTACAGTACAAATAAAGTGCACCTTTGGCTGTAATTAAATGTGCTAGTTATTGATATGATACTTGCCATGGGGGTACTGAAAGGCAGCTGAATTGGTGGGTTTTTTTTGTTCCTATGAAAGTCTTTGCCCCATGGTGCTTATGGCTCAACAGAAGCAGTGACACCTATTGAATCATCCACTGTATTTCCTGCAACTCTTCTGTTTTTCTTGGAGGCTTTCCAAGCAAGTATTGACTAGAATTTCATTTATTTGGATTAGGAAGATACAAATAATAAAAAGGGTGCTTAAAGTGTAAGGTAAAGTCTCCAGCAAGCTAGTCTCTTCCTTGTGAATGATGTAGAAATTACTATTCTAAAATACTTCAGAAATTGAAGTTTGAAGAGATTCAGAGCTTACTTAGCTTTTCATGAATTTTTTTCAGAAATGTCTCTGAATGTGGCAACTCAGTTTAACTTCGCTTTATTTGGTATGGCTGGTAACTGCAGACTTCACCAAGTCTGTGTGACAGTGCCACAGGTATCGAGATAGAGAGCTTGCAGTCATTCCTTTATGGATGAGCTGAAAGACACTTTGACTGGCTTCAGCCCAGCCAGCAGCAAAGTACCACTCAGCTGCCTGCTTATTGCCCTTCACTCTCTAGGGGAATGGGGAGAAGAACTGGAAAAAATATTAAAACTTGTATGTTGAGATAAGAACAGTTTAATAATTGAAATAAAAGTAAAATATAATAGGAAATGGGGGGGATGGAGGGGGTATGAATAAACCCTTTTGCCTGTCTGTCCTCCCCCTGTCCCTTCCTATCCTTTCTCTCCCCGTGGAAGCTTTCCCTTCCCATGGAAGCTGTGAAAAGTCCTTGACTTGGAACAAGCACTAATTTGCAACAACTAAGACACAGATGTGTTATCAGTATTGTTCTCAGACTAAAGCCAAAACACAGTACTCTACCATCTGCTGAGAACCAAAATAATTCTTTGCCAGACAAAAACATGATAGCATTTTGTGGTTATCAGAGGAAGGTAAGAAAGATGAAGAAAATGTTCCCAAGCGTATCTAGCCAAGACGTAGTCCCAGCATCTTGGCTAGAATATCAATACTCTTGCTCCACCTAGTTGCTGTGAAGAGAAGAAACACTGATAATTCTTTCAAGTTTTTACTCTGGGGTCTGTTTCAGATTCAGGGATTTATATGTCAGCATTTGGCTTAAGTTTTCCAGACATAAGTTTTGTTGTGGTCTTCTCTCCATCTGCCAAAGGAGTGAGCCTACTCTCTTGTCTTTGATGGTATTTAGCTGTTGGAGTATTGTATACTATCAGCTACTCTTTGCAAGCTTAATTGAAGCATTTCTCCCAAAGGTAAAATTACTGTGTTTGGTTTTTAATGTTGTCCACTGCTTTCCCAGTTATCTCAACCTGAAAGTGGTACTTTTCACGTCTCTATTCTCCATAGATTTGTCAGCAGTGTCAATGCAATTTTTGAAAGTCTTTGCAGGTTTTGGGGTTTTTGTTTTGTTGTTGATTTGTTATTTTTTTTTGAAAGAGATTCATATGTTGAACCTAAGTTGCAGATTGTGTTTGCCTTGAAAACCAATCTGCCTTTGTTTTGCATCCTTCAGGAGTTAAGAAGAGATTTACTTAAGGTGTGAATTTTTAAAAATGTTTTGCTTTCACAAGATTGTTTCAAATGTGAATGCAAGTGGAGCTGCCAGGTTTTCAAATAAGCAGTTGTCCTAAACTGAAATAGGTATGCCATCTAGGAAGAGCATGAACATTTTTAGGTAAATGTTCTGGGTCATTGGGGTCAAATTTAGGGCTGCATAAAGCATATTTTATGTTGTTCTTCTAATGTAGATCAGGTTTGCAATTGTCCTAAATCAGGGAAGTGTTGATTTTGGTTTGTTTTTTTTTTTTTCTTTTCCCCTGGTGTTGGAAGATTTCAGCAACATAGGATTTGTTATTGCTGGTCCTGTGTTGTACAGCTAGGATGTCAAGTAGGCAGGTTGGAACGGAATATAACCTTCAAGTACAAAGCCACTCTGGGAGGTCAGTTGATTGCAAGTACCCCCCCATCTGTTGTTTTTTTGTGGAACCTATTTGATTGTGCTCAGCCAAGTTTGGCTTAGTATTAGGTCAAGGACCAAATATTTGCTTTCTTGACTGGGTATGATATTGATCTTTTGCTCTGTGCAAAGACTTCATGAACTTATGGTGTATGAAGATGAATACCTGTAAGCCTGCTGACTTGAGCTGGCGCTGATGGTGCTGGCACTTTAGCTCAGGTAAAACTGTGTTTATTTATTATTTCTTCCCACCTTTGGTTTATTTGGTGTGCTTCTTTTGGTGTCAAGGGTGACATTTGCAATGTTCAAGACTTTATTGTAACTAGCTCAGAGTTGCTGTCCACCAGTGTGTGTGCAGACTGCAAGATACCAAGTTGCACGTTCTGTGAACATTACTGTTCTGAAACAGAGTAACATGCCTTGCTGTATTTTTTAACAGTTAAGCAAACAAAGAGTGGATATAGCAAATCTGCACAAGTAGTTTTAGAAGCTTGCAGTTCTTGCAGATAGTTATTGTCCTGTGATTATCTGAATATTTCAGAGTAACATCCATCTGGAAGAGTTAATAAAATTGAGTTTAGCTCCACAGGAAACAGATTTGGTTCTTGTGCAGGTTTGGGTTCCCTCTGTCCCCCCATTTTTATTTAACATCAGCTTTTCAATGGAATTCCTCTTTAGTGTTTATCTGTTTTTAGTAATGGCCTATCTCACACCTCATACTATATTTTTTTAAACAAAGTGAACATGTAAATATTGTGCTTTCTCTACTCTACAACTATAAATAAAAATCCTGACCTGTTGAATTAGGTGTGTAAACATATACATTGTTGAGACTTTGCTTTTTATCAAGTGGAGATCTCATAAACTTGTATTTTCTGATTACAATTAAAAGTATAGTTTATGGTTGAAACTTTAAATCCATAAATCCAGAGTTGTGCCTGTTTTTCCTGATCCCAGATTGGTAATATTCTGCTTACAAGGATAACACAGGTGTAGATGTTAAGGGGATCACTGGGTGACTTTGTGGTGGAGCATCTTTCCTGACATGCGTATGCTTTTAATATTCTATGTAATGCTTTCCTTCGTAAGAACAGTTTTTAATTTCAATTCAGTTAATCGAATCCTGCCTCGGGTTTTTCCGTAGTCAGTGGATTACTGAATAGTACAGCTAAAAGACATTGAAACTAGGTACTGGAGTCTAGTTTGTTGCTCTTCTCCAGGATTGAGTCAGCTTTCTGTTGGTACTAAGGCACTTGAGTATATTAATTGTTTAGCATTAGGTTTTTCCATCATCTTGTATATCAGTGCATTGAAGCATGTTTGTGTGACTCTAAAGTTTGCCTTGCAGTATACTCTGATTTTTCATGTTACATAACTTTTTTTCCCCTCCTCATTTTGGAAACTGGATTAAAATTGGTTTAGAGCAATATTAGATGATTATTTGTTAGAATAACAGTCTTCAAAAGAAGGTATATTGACTTTTCTGAAGTTCGGAATTGCCAACAGCAGAGAAAACCCTAATGAGGTAGAGGTGTCATGGTAAGATACTTATTTTAGAGCCCAGTCAATATCTTAGTTTAGTGATTATAAGCCTTGCTATGTAAGGAGGGTCACTGTCTGGAAATAATATTAGGTCAAAATCCTAAGAATTGGGAATATATGGTGAAAAATGCTTTTGGTTAGACTTCTTGTAGATGGGGTTAATGGTGCCCTAGCACTATCAGACTAAAAAGAATGTTGGCCATTATATCTGTAGTCCACTTGTTATATTCTTTATTACCTTGAATTTAAAACTTACTGAAGTTGAGCTATTTAAAGATTCTTACCAGGAAGGTCAGATGAGAAGGAACTATTCTGTCAGTAGTAACTTACGTCTCAGTATTTCCTCAGGACAAATGGATGTTGCCCAAGCTCCTCCCAGTTAAGTTGAAGGCTAAAACATGCTGTCAGAAAAAGTAAGTACAGGGTAGATTCTCAAAAATGAGTTCTACTGCAAAAATCTCATTTTAAACATTATCCTTTTATGTCCTTTTCCAGTCTCTCTGATTTGCTAGGAAACAGACTAGTTCTGTTGCAAGTGCAATACTTTTCACTGATAGATTGCAAAGTCCTGTTATGGGGAAGTATTCATAGCCATTTCTCCTAAGTCAAAGCATGGAGGAGTGAAGTGGCTTGCTGAAAAATGCCTGGAATGGATAAAACTGGCTAGAACACAAGTGCTGAGCCCTTTCCACTAAGTTACACTGCTGCAGTTTTCCTTTATGGGCTACTAGCCTTGTAAGCTCATAAAGAATGTGAATTTGTTTCTTGAGATGAGTTTTTTGAGTTTGGTTGCAGAAATTTGGGGAAATAAT